AGCACATGAATCAATCTGGCTAACCTGATCCAAAAACACACATGCACCCCACTCACACATGAAAACAAATCTCACTGCAGCCAGTGAAAGACAACCAACCACCCCCTAGACCACCCCCAACCTTTCACCACCAAAGAAATACAAGGGAATAGGAAAGAGATGCTGACACAAACCCCCACACATACACGAAGTAGAAGAATAGAAGCATTACCACCTGACCCAACCCCACACATCATTCCCCCCTCCACCTCTTTCCCCCTTTTCTTCCTAATGTAACACTAATGTCTCAACAAATGAAACTGATCTGTAGAAAACGTAACTTGAAAAAAGGGACATTGCACATACTTTTGTAAACCATGAAATCTTTAATTAATTAAAAAAAACCCACCCGAAAACCTGCTTGAACAGGTTTGCACAGAAACAACAAGAGGGGGGGCAAAAGAGACTTTAAAAAAACACATTTTAGAAGGAAGCCTCAGGGCCTTGGATGATCTTACAGAAATGCTTCCTTTTAACTTCCTTCCAAGTCAAAACCCAATCTCAGATAGGTGATTGCTGCACATGGAAGCTCTACTTTTGACAAACAATTTACTTTTACTGGAAGGGATGCTCATTTTCCCTTTAGTTATACAGTCATAATACTTATTAGAATTCCTGTAATGATTTTTTAATCTCTGCCTGCGTTTTATGCCTTTTAAAAACAAATGTGTTGAGGTTTGTTTGTTTGTTTGTGCGTGTGTGTATGTATGCAAATGCATGTGTGTGGTGAACTGATTCTTTGACCCGGGAGAAAGAAAGCCGAGTTTCATCCCTGCATGTTGGATATTTTGTCTCCAGCATTGCCACAGGGGAGTGAAGACCTCCCTATTATTTAGGGGCCCTATCCCTCATTTGCAACACAGTCCAGCCTCCAGTTTAACATCCTGCTGGCATAAATGGTTAAGAGACTTAAGGGAGTTGTTACTTCAGAATAACGGCTTGTACAAGTAAGGCTTTTGTCAATTATATCTTCATGTATGCCTAAAGATATTTTATTTGTTGTTTAGTCGTTTAGTCGTGTCCGACTCTTCGTGACCCCATGGACCAGAGCACACCAGGCACTCCTGTCTTCCACTGTCTCCCGCAGCTTGGTCAGACTCATGTTTGTAGCTTCGAGAACACTGTCCAACCATCTCATCCTCTGTCGTCCCCTTCTCCTTGTGCCCTCCATCTTTCCCAACATCAGGGTCTTTTCCAGGGAGTCTTCTCTTCTCATGAGGTGGCCAAAGTATTGGAGCCTCAGCTTCACGATCTGTCCTTCCAGTGAGTACTCAGGGCTAATTTCCTTAAGAATGGATGCGTTTGATCTTCTTGCAGTCCATGGGACTCTCAAGAGTCTCCTCCAGACCATAATTCAAAAGCATCAATTCTTTGGCGATCAGCCTTCTTTATGGTCCAGCTCTCACTTCCATACATCACTACTGGGAAAACCATGGCTTTAACTATACGGACCTTTGTTGGCAAGGTGATGTCTCTGCTTTTTAAAATGCTGTCTCGGTTTGCCATCGCCTTTCTCCCAAGGAGCAGGCGTCTTTTAATTTCGTGACTGCTGTCACCATCTGCAGTGATCATGGAGCCCAAGAAAGTAAAATCTCTCACTGCCTCCATTTCTTCCCCTTCTATTTCATAAAATCATAGAATCATAGAGTTGGAAGAGACCGCAAGGGACATCGAGTCCAACCCCCTGCCAAGCAGGAAACAAGGAGGAGATGGGCCCAGTGGCCATGATCTTCGTTTTTTTGATGTTGAGCTTCAGACCATATTTTGCGCTCTCCTCTTTCACCCTCATTAAAAGGTTCTTTAATTCCTCCTCACTTTCTGCCATCAAGGTTGTGTCATCTGCATATCTGAGGTTGTTGATATTTCTTCCGGCAATCTTAATTCCGGCTTGGGATTCATCCAGCCCAGCCTTTCGCATGATGAACATATTTTATTAGCGAAAGCTTAACAGGCAATGAGACCTTCCCTTGAACTCTTCATCTGGAATGCCCCATCTCTGAACACAGAGCACCATCTTACTTTGGAAGGTGCCCAGAAGCAGGAGCTGCCCAAAACAGGGCACAGCTCGCCCACCCAGATAAGCCATTCTAAAATAAAACAAATTGGGCTTTCCTTACCCTGGCTCTGCTGTGTGTGTGTGCACAGCTGCTGGACTTTGAAGTACACATCAAAGCACCTTCAGGTCTAGGACTGACTCCGCCCTCCCTGGCTGGCAATTTAATACTTCTGGAGAGGAAGGAGTATAAGCAACTTCCTGTTCCCGTTAATCCCTACTTGAGCAACAAGGTCTGGTTTGTCCTTTGCTCCTGACTCTTGACTTCCTTCTTGAGCCTGTCTCTTGGATGTTCCTTCAGCACCAGTTTCTGGCTTGCTCCTTGAACTTGCTTCCTGGTTTGTGCATTGGTCCCAGCTTCTGACGTGTCCCAGCTTCTGGGCTCCAGATCTGGGCTCACCTCAGACTCCTGCCCAAGACCCATCCCTGTCAGTGTGGCACCCCTTAATCCAGGTGATATGGGCTAATAGGGTTTATTTAGGCCTGTTTGGACATCAGCAAGGGTTAGACTAAATGACCTCCAGGTCTCCCTTGAACAAACCGCTGTAGGAACCCAGAGGCAGGAATGCCTTGCACACAACAGCTCCCAGCAAAGCTTGCACCTATTAGTCCCTGGCTGCTGGAGGAGTAATTTGCAGCTCCATTAGCACTGGGAGTGAGCACCCAGTAGCCTTGCAATGTGTCCATTTGATAAGAGGAAAGTTCCATTGAATAATGAGAAGTAATTGGATTTCAGGGTTAACCAGCTTGCAGCAAAAAGAGAGGGGGCGGGTGGGAAGGAGAGCCATTGGATATTGCTGTTCTAGCTCATCAGACAATGGAGGTTTATCTCTGCTGAAAATAGCACCAGAGAGGTAGAAGTTATTAGCAACCACCCGAGCATGGTGCTACCATCTCTCCCGCTAGCATTTAGTGGCACAACTGGCTCATGTCCTTGTCAAGGCATACTGAAGTCACTGGGAGGTCAGAAGAAGCCTGCTCATGGAAACTCTGCACAAGCAAAGGGAATGACAAAAGGGAGCCCATCCCCTTGCATGTAGCATGCAGAGTCCTGATTTCTCTCAGCTATAAAAGTGTACAGAATCGCATTTGTGTAGAGAGATGGTTTAGCTTAGTGGGAGAGCTGAGTAAAGAAGAGCTAGAGAAAATCCCCACCCCTTTTATCATAATACTAAAACTAAAATTATTAAATACTAAAATTATTAGGATTTTCACAATATTACAAAATGAAAAAGGAAAAAAAAAGAAAAAATACAAAATAAAAATAGTTAAAAACAATTCAATCTTTCCATCACTTATCTTTCATTTGCTTGTTTCCCGGACCTCCTCATACCTCCCTTTTTTGTATTCCAGTTCAATTTATTAGTTCAGCAAATCCTTCCCCTCTTTGATTTATCCTGATCTTTAATCTTAATATATTATAGCATTAAATTTTTACCTGTTAAAAATCCATTTTTTCATATTCTTTTATACCATTACAGCTAAAAACCGCTTAACTTCAATCCAACATCATTCTAGCATTCCTTAATTTTGCAGTATTTCTGTAAATAGTCTTTAAATTTCTTCCAATCTTCTTCCACCAACTCTTCTCCCTGGTCTCGGATTCTGCCAGTCATTTCCGCCAATTCCGTGTAGTCCATCACCTTCATCTGCCATTCTTCCAGAGTGGGTAGGTCTTGTGTCTTCCAATACTTTGCAATAAGTATTCTTGCTGCTGTTGTGGCATACATAAAAAAAGTTCTGTCCTTCTTTAACATCGATTGGCCGACTATGCCCAGGAGAAAGGCCTCTGGTTTCTTCAAGAAGGTATACTTAAATACCTTTTCCAATTCATTATAAATCATCTCCCAGAAAGCCTTAATCCTTGGGCACGTCCACCAAAGGTGAAAGAATGTATCATAATACTAAAACTCAAGGAGGGGGGCACCAGTTGGAATTTTTGGCAGTAAGTTAAGGGTAGCTGTATTGTCATAATGATTGACAGGAGGTTTGGAATAGCCTTCAAGGGAGGGACCATAACTCAGCAGTAGAGCACAAGTATTGCACACAGAAAAGTCCAAGTCTCTAGTATCTCAAGGAGGGAAAGAAGGAATGAGGTATCAGCTGGTGGGAAAGATCCTGGATACTTCTGGAAGGCTAGAGATATACTACAGTGGTACCTCGGGTTACATACGCTTCAGGGCACACACTCCGCTAACCCAGAAATAGTGCTTCAGGTTAAGAACTTTGCTTCAGGATAAGAACAGAAATCGGGCTCCGACGTCGTGATGGCAGCAGGAAGCCCCATTAGCTAAAGTGGTGCTTCAGGTTAAGAACAGTTTCAGGTTAAGAACGGACCTCCGGAATGAATTAAGTACTTAACCTGAGGTACCACTGTATAGGGATGGGGTGAGACATTCAGCTTGGTTTGCATTTCAATGACAAGCTCCCTAACTGGTCTCTTTCCAAAGCTATATGCCAACCCAAACACCATACGTGTCCCTGGAGGGGCTGCTGCTTCAACCCATCTCATGCCAGGGCCAGGCTGCAACCTGTGTTTTGTGAGTCCCAATCCACCAGTCAAAGCCAAATGGAGTCAACTAGAGGAGACAAGGAAGGGCTACACTGGCAAATATTGTGACTTGGGATAAAGTAGTTTACCTATTTTTGTCCAGCCACCTGAGGGAAGAAGAATGTGCCAGGAGCAGCCATGTCTCTGCCACTGGGATCGGTAATGCCCATGGTAGGTGGATGACAGGCAGGGTAAACAGTTCTCACTTTGTCCCCCGGACAAAGCCTCCCAGTGGTGTTCTACAAAGGCAGCTACAAAAGAGGAAGCTGACCGCTAGCGCCAGCTCCTGAACTAGATGTGAGAAGATTAAGGTAGGTAGCCATGTTGGTCTGACAGAGTTGAAATAAATTAAAAAATTGTCCAGTAGCACCTTAGAGACCAACTAAGTTTGTTCTGGGTATGCAAATGAAAGCTTATACCCAGAACAAACTTAGTTGGTCTCTAAGGTGCTACTGGACAATTTTTTAATTTATTTAGATGTGAGAAGGCAGGCAGATAGGGGGAGGCCAAGGTTGGTGGGGTGACACTTTGTTTGCCCTCATGGGCCGATCTCCACTAACTTTGAGAACAAGCAGTATATAAAATCTTCCACACAAGCAAACAGTAAATGTGTTCTGACACTGAAAGAGCTGGCTGTCCCAAAATATGAGCCTGTTTCCTCTGTCCAGAAGCTTGGGAACATCTTGAGAAATGTCTGCACTGTCCAGCTCTCTCTTTTTCTCTTTCTCTCTCTCCCATAACTAGGATGCCTGGGGGGAGATCTCTCCAGTGCAAGTCCCCAAGGTGGCAGATAGGGGTGACATCTCGATCCAGAGGGATGAGTTTGAAGGGTGCTGAGGGAAGAGCAGTGGTGAGGCCAAGATGATGCTCAGACTGTCACCGACAGCAGATGTTATCTGGAGTTAAAGTTGGTGCGCCTTGCTGTGCCTGTTGTCTAGAGGAGTGAGGGCGAGAGAGCTCTGCAGTGGCCAAGTAGCCCTAGCCACGCATGGTGCCATCTTTTCGCTGAAAGGTCACTCTGTAAACAAAGGCGGGATGCATGAGACAATCTATGACTGACTTTGGGGGACGGGGAATTGTGAAGAATTGCATACATGAATCCAGAGGCAGGGAGCCTTCCATGCCTCTCAATATGTCCCTTAGGACCACCTCCCCTTGACCATGCCTCCTCCCCAACCCAAGCCCCCTCTCTCCAGACTACACCAGCCCTGCTCTGCACTTTTCTTTGAGTACTTCTGCTTGACTGGAGGATGGAAAGCTGAAGATTCATAGGAACCATTGGTCCATCTAGCCTAGTATTGTCTGCACTGGCTGGCAGCAGCTCTCCTGCGTTCCAAGCAGGGTTCTCTCCCAGCCGTACCTGGAGATGCAGAGAAGTCAGGATCTACTGCATGCAAGGCATATACTCTGTCCCTGAGCTATGTCACCTCCTCCTTGCATATGTCTGGCAGTGTAACGGCTTCAGAATGTGTACCATTACTGTAAATCATATGGACCAAAAACTGCACCAATCAGCGTTGGAGCTCAAGCAACACAAGATGTGGAGGGATCATTTCAGAGCAATTAACAGTAGCCTGGTAGAAACCTGGTTTTTGTGGGGCCACAATAGAGCTACCGGTGTAAAAGAAGAGTCCCCTCGCCCAATGCTCCATCCACTGCTTGCCTCTGGTCTCTTAGAAGGCTGCCTAAGCAAGAATGAGGCCCTCAGGCAGAAAAAGGTTGGCGCCTCTGGCAATGGCGGATTTCCTCCGATCGGAAGGAATCCGCTCCATGGAAAATAGGGTCTGAACCGCCGTGGCGAGGCGGAGACCCATCAAAAACCACAGGCGGGAGAAGCCTGTGGACGTGGGATTCGGCTGGCACCTTTGCGCCCCCCCCACTCGCGACGTGGGGTGAGTGGCGCGGTGCTTTGAATCGACTGCTTCTTTCACGGAGTGAAGCCGCATTGCTGTTGCCGGAGAGCGCTGACTTTTTCCTGTGGACAATTGGATTTTAAACAACTGCCCGTGAGTAGAACGGAAAATTGGACTATGAAATTTCTTAATTAGGCACCGAAAGCGGGAAGGTCTAAACAGGAAGTCCGCCTTCCGCTTTTGTAGATAGATTGAAGCAAAGACACGGCAAGCTAGAGTTTAGAAAGTCGTCTGTAAAGGACTAAATTTTCATCATTTAAAATTACTGAACCCCCCCTTGGAAGCAGGAGAAGAGGGGGAACCCTTTTTTTTTAGACTGTTTAAACCTGCAGAAGAGAGTGTAAAGAAAGGTAATTTTCCACCGTCTTGAACCTGGGAGCGGGGTGTCAAGGCAGATGTTTTGGAGACGTTCATTGACTATGGACAAACGTTTTTGACAGATAGTTAAAAGAAGAGAAACATATTGATTCCATTGTTCCCTTTCGCATTTAAAAGGAACAAAATATCGACAAAATATCCGAAAAAGGAAAACTTTGTTGCTAGATCTGCTTTAAAAAAAAAAATGGATACAAATAGAAATTGTTTCCCTTAGAGGGAGCTTGTGAAACTGTTATTAAAGTCGAACTGGGGAGCTTTGCAGCTGTAAAGATTAAGATCGTGGGACCAGACTTCGACCTTGAACAAGAATGTGCTCAGAGGCTCTGGTGCTTGCCTTTTGCAAGACAAGTGCTTTATTGGAACATTTACATGAGAAGATGGATTTGATGACTGTTGCGATCGGAAATTTTGGACAGGCAGTGGGTACCTATATAGAACCCACTCAGGAATTAATCCAGGAATGTGCTTTGACAGATGAGATGAGGGAGGAGGTTGTTGCTGGACCTCGGGTGGCAGAGATGGAGGGAGCTGTGGCCCAGCAGGAACATGAGTTGTTGGATTTGACGAATGAACCTGGAAAATAGTCAGATTTGGAGAGATGGAGTTCTGTTTGACTTGGAGATGGGGGGTTGGATGGACCCCCCTATGCAGGGATGTTTTGACCTTTCAAGTCTGGCTTTAGGCCGAGGGGAGCTCGGAGTTGTGGGGGCCCCTAACTTTGGAGGGACCTTGAAACATGCCTTTAAATACCACATGGATTTCAGTGTTGACTATGTGTAATAAATGTAGGGGTTGCTCGTGCGCAAGTTGGTGCCACTCCTGGCTACGTTGCCTTGTTAAACCTTTTCTGTCTGGACAGGCCCTGCACTTCGTGGCTGTTCAGTCGCTAGCAGAATCCGTCAGTGGGCGTTTCTTAAACCTTTTCCAGCATAAAAGTTGTTTGACTCCAAGTCTCCTCCTACTCTCCCTGCGCGGAAGTATTCTGCGCAGGGAGGGCGTGGGTAGCGGAGGACCCGTGCTCTCCTCGCTGATCTCCGGCGAGGAGTCCTGGAGCCCCCTCGCCGATTCCCCCATCTGCCCCCTTTATCCCTGGTGTTACGCTGATTTCTTTCCCCAGCTGGTGAGCCGCCTCCCCCTGCTGGGCCCTTCTCCAGCATCGCTCGAGAGCCTAGCCTCCGCCTCTGGCTCCAATGTCAGTTCCCTGACATCCACCTCCCCCCAGGACCCCCTTCACCCCCGGCCCGACCTTTTGATCCAACTTCGTCCCTTTCCTCGGCCGACGATGCGGGGAATCCCCGGAAGGAGCTGTCGCCATCCTCTGAGGATTCAAAACCCGCTTCCCACCCGCTCCGATCTCTCCCCGCGGGGTGGGCCTCCCAGTCTGATTCTTCTTCCTCCGAAGCCTCTCCTCCCTCCTCTTCGGAGGCAGAAAAACCCACAAAATCCTCTTCATCGTCTGTGGTTCCAAATTGCTCCTCCCAGAATCTCGCTAGTGGCTTGGGTTTGTCTGGGAACAGGCTGTGGAATTCCTCCACAAGATACCCATCATTGATTGCCTCCGCAGGAACCCACGTGTTTTCCGACCCGGGTTCTCCCTCCCAAGCTACCAGGTACTCCACCTGGCGCCCTCGCCACCTTGAATCGAGTATTTCTGTGACCTGGTTGTGGTGTTCCCTCTCCTCTATCAGGGGGTGTGTAGTGACTTCGCCTTCCCGCCCCAGGACTCCCCGCCCCTCCCTGTACGGTGAGAGTAGGGACCTATGGAACACCGGGTGTATCTTCATGCTGTCCGGCAACCTGAGCTTGAATGCCATGGGGTTCACCTGCTGTGTTACCTCAAACGGCCCCAGCCGCCTTGGCTGCAACTTCTTGCACCCCCCCTTAAAGGGTAACCCTTGGGTTGACAACCACACCCGGTCCCCCACCCGTATGGTCTCCCTTCCCTACGGTGCTTGTCTGCCTGCCTCTTGTAAATTTCCTTGGCCCGTTCTAAGTTCATCTTAAGTTGCTGGTGCAGGGCCTCCATTTCTTCCACAAACTGCTCTGCCGCTGGTACGCTCCACCCTTCCTCCCCACTCCCCGGGAAGGGCCTGGGGTGACACCCATAATTGGCCATGAACGGGCTCATTCCCGTGGACACATGTTCAGCGTTATTGTACGCAAATTCAGCCAGCGCTAGTTTCTCTACCCAATCGTTCTGCCTCTCGCTGACGTAGCAGCGTAGGTATTGCTGGAGTACACTGTTCGCTCTTTCTGCTTGCCTGTTGGTTTCCGGATGTCTCGCTGTCGAGAAGCTCACCTCTACCTGCAGCAAGCTCATGAGTTTCCTCCAGAACCGGGAAGTAAATTGTTTCCCGCGATTGGAAATTACTCTCGAGGGAGCCCCATGCAACCTGAAGATGTGATCCACAAACAACTTGGCTGTCTCCTCTGCGGTCACCGCATGTGAACACGCTATGAAATGGCACATCTTTGTCAATAGATCGACTACTACCATGACTGCTGTCTTCCCCCAGGACTTGGGCAAATCGATCATAAAATCAATGGACACCACCTCCCAGGGTCTTCCAGGCGTGGGTAAAGGTTCCAGTAACCCTGCGGGGGCAGTCCTTTCCTCCTTTGCCCTTTGGCAGCGGTCGCACCCCCGTACATATTCCCGTACATCCTCCCTCACCCTTGGCCACCAGAACTGCCTGGTGACGAGCATCATGGTTTTGTGCTGTCCAAAGTGCCCAGCTGTGGGGTTGTCGTTGAGTTGTTTGAGTACCTTTCCCCTCAGGGTCTCCCCCGGTACATACAGCGCCCCCTTATAGTACAGCACCCCTTCCTTTTCCTCAAAACCCCCTTGGTTTTCTCTTCCCTCTCAGAGTTCCCGGATTTTAGTTTGAGCGAACACGTCGTTTCTAGTAAGCCCGGCCAGTTCTCGTTTTCCAACCAAGGCTCCCACACACACCCATCGGTCCTCGGGGATCACGTGTCGTATCTCCGGCAGTCCCTCTCCTTCCATGTACTCCGGCTTCCGGGAGAGAGCATCTGCTCTTACGTTTTCCTCTCCTGGCACATATCAGATTTCGAAGGAAAACTTGGAGAACTCCTGTGCCCATCGAATCTGTCTCTGGTTGAGTACTCTTGCGGTCCTCCAGTACTCCAAGTTCTTGTGATCAGTACAAACCTGGATCTTGTGCTGTGCCCCTATCAGCAGATGTCGCCATCGGCGAAACGCCGCATAGATCGCAAGCAGTTCGCGGTTGTACACCGTATAGTTTTGCTCCGACTTGCTCAGCTTCCTCAAGAAAAAGGCACACGGCTTCCATTCCTGCTTGCTCCTCCCTGGCTGCAAAAGAACCGCCCCAATGGCTCTGTCGGACGCGTCGGTCTCTAGCCTCATGGGTTTCTCCAGATCAACGGGCAGGAGCTGCTCTTCCGAAGCGAACGCCTTCTTCAGTCTTTCAAAGGATTGCTGGGCACTTTCGGTCCAGACAAACTTCTTTTTGCTACTGAGACAATCTGTGATGGGTGCTGTCAAGTGGGCGAAGTTCTTGATGAACTTCCTGTAGAAGTTGCTGAACCCTAGGAACCTCTACGTCCTTCTGGGTTTTGGGGGCCTTCCATTCCAGCACCGCCTGCACCTTGCTTGGGTCCATAGCTAGGCCTTTGTCTGACAACTTGTACCCCAGAAACTCGACTTCTCTGGTGTGAAACTGACATTTTTCCAGCTTGACCCACAACTGGTGCTTCTGCAGTCTCTTTAGCACTTCCCTGACGTCTCTGACATGTTGCTTCTCATTGTCCGAATAGATTAAGACGTCGTCCAAGAAGGCTACGCAGTTCTTGTACAGCAGGGACCCCAACACGTGGTGCATGAAAGCTGGAAAACAGGCGGAGCCCGACTGTAATCCAAATGGCATAACTAAGTACTCAAAGGCCCCCAGGGGGGTGAACATTGTGGTCTTCCATTTGTCCCCCTCCCTCATCCTAATCAAATTGTATGCTCCCCTGAGGTCCAGCTTGGTAAATATTTTTCCCTGCCTCACCCGTGTTAAAATTTCGTCAATCCTGGGCATTGGGAAGGTCACGGGTTCTGATACCAAATTTAACGCCCTAAAATCTACGACCAATCTGGGCTGGTTAGTCCCTTTTGCGACCTTCACTGGAGTTTGAAACCTCCCGCGCGCGCGCGCCATCAATTTCCATTGGCTCCGCCGGCGGGGAAGGCTGCCTCGGTATTTCAGGAATGCGGTAGTCATGGCAACGTTCCCCTCTGCCTTCCCGCTTCTCCTGAGCCCGCGCTTCCTGTCTTACGCCAATCGCAAGCACAGCCTTGGTCAGCTGATCCATCGACTGCGGGCAGGGCGCGCGGGAAAGCTCGTCCTTCACCGTTGGGGGCAACCCCTCCTCAAACAACATTTGAATGGGTTCCGAGTCCAATTCCCACCCGAGCCAGTGGACTAACATGGCAAAGTGCGACCAGTAGTCTCTAACTGACTGGTTCCCCTGTTTACAACCCATCAGTTCCCGCCGAGTCACACTTTGCTGCACATCACTGGAATACATCGCATCCATCGCCTGGAAGAATTTCCTCTGGTCCTTCAAGGCGGCATTTTGTGTTGCCATTAGGGGCCTGATCCATTCCCTGGCCCCATCCTGCAGATGCCCGACAATGTATGCCACCCTCTCCCCATCGTCCGCAAAATCCTTATGCTGCAGTTCCAAAGCGTATGCTATTTCCGTTCGGAACGCATTGTAGTCCTGGGGCTTCCCCCCAAACTTGTGTACCAGTCCCGGTACCTTCCTTGCTACGGGGGTGGTCCTGACCTATGCATCCTGAGCCCGCCTTTCTTCCAACCGCGCCGTGAGAAGAGCCACATGCTGTTCCAAATCTCGGTTCCTCTCCACCAGATTTTGCACTCCAGCTGCTCCCTCCGTGGCGCCTGCTTCTCCAGTTTGGCTCATTCTTCTGCCTGCCTGGCGCTGCGCACAAGCAACGTCAAGGACTGACGGATTGCTGTAATAAATGTAGGGGTTGCTCGTGCGCAATTTGGTGCCACTCCTGGCTAGGTTGCCTTGTTAAACCTTTTCTGTCTGGACAGCCCCTGCACTTTGTGGCTGTTCAGTCACTAGCAGAATCCGTCAGTGGGCGTTTCTTAAACCTTTTCCAGCATAAAAGTTGTTTGACTCCAAGTCTCCTCCTACTCTCCCTGCGCAGAAGTCTTTTGCGCAGGGAGGGCGTGGGTAGCGTGCCCCCTCACCGATTCTCCCATCTGCCCCCCTTTATCCCTGGTGTTACGCTGATTTCTTTCCCCAGCTGGTGAGCCGCCTCTCCCCCTGCTGGGCCCTTCTCCAGCATCGCTCGAGAGCCTAGCCTCCGACTCTGGCTCCGATGTCGGTTCCCTGACACTATGGAAAAGGGGCTGACTTGTCGAGAAGGGACAAAAATATTGTCAAGCTGGAGTCTCCCCGAGTGAAAGGAGCAGAAGACAAAGTAAAGTACAGGTATAAACATGAATAAGACCTGCGGAAGGGACATGGAAAAGACTTAAGAGCCTCGGATATAAGGTCACCAGGTTGATGGACTAGATGGATGGGATAGAAAGGACTGACAAAACCCAAGACCAGGAAGAAGAGACGATGGATGAAAATTGGAAGAAAGTTTTAAAAATTTACTTAGAAAAGTATCGTAAAATTAATGAGCATTAGAAAAATGTTGGAATGAAAGTATTTGGCTTTAGCAGAAATGTTAAAAAGAATTATGTAAGAATATGTTGTGGTTAAAATAATTCGGTATAAATAAGATTTAAGTTTTAAGTTTTAGGGGTTTTTTATGGTAAGATAAAGTTAAAATAGATTAAGGTAATTTAATGACAGAATATTGTGAAAGATGGAAAGGATTTGTTAAGATAATTAACAACTAGAATACAAAAAAGGGAGGTGTGAGGAGGTTGATGAAATAAGTTAATGAAAGTTAAGGATTTGGGAATATTGGATTTGTTTTTAAATTTTTTGTTTATTTTTGCTTTTTGATTGTGATGCATTGTGTGTTTTGTTTTTTCTTTTTGATTTTGGTTTTTATTGATTTGTATTGTTTAATTGTTACTTTTATCTACTTTTTTCTTTCTTTTTCTCTTTTTCTTGTCTTTTCCTTCTTTTTTCTTTGTAACTTTAAAATTCTCAATAAATATCATTTTTTTAAAAAAAGAAAAAGGTTTCCCACCAACCAGCCACAATAGATGTTGTGATGGGCCTTCATCACAGGAATCCATCCCAGAAACCCCAGCACTGGTTTTGTTAAGTGATGCTTGGATTCTATTGACTCAGGGCCAATTCATTCATTCATTCATTCATTCATTAGTTGATTTGTTAGTCACCCAAATCAAACACACTGTGAGCAACTTAGAAAGTATGGCAGAGTTACAAGCATAGTGATTACAAGAACAAAAGAACAATCTAAATATGTTTTTCATCTAGTGTGGGCTTATTCTTATTTTTTTTTTAAAAAATGTTTTAAATTATTCTTCCTAAGTATTTTTACCATTAATTTTATCATTTTATTATTCTGGTAAACTGCTTTGAGGGTTTCTTTTGCAATCAAGCAATATATAAATGTTATGAAATAAATATATAAAGTTCAATACAAGAGTTACAGTGAAAACAGGTTTGGGCTCTGACACCCCCCCCCCAATTCACCTTGTCACATGGTTTGGCCTTGTGTGGCTCACTTTTTTAAACCAATGGCTGTTACGTGGGGAGCAAGTTGGATCAGGATCATGGCATGGCGGTGGGACGTTAAGCCTATGCCCTTTCCGTGATCCTGATCCAAATTGCCCCCGCCCCCACCCTGACAAGACTCACACAGACACAAACCCAAGTATGAGAAATAGCACAATAAGAGCCCACCAGACCAGGCCAGTAGCCCATCTGGTTCAGCATCCTGTTCTCACAGTGGCCAGATAGATGCCTCTGGGAATCCCACAAGCAGGATTTAAGCACAAGAGCACTCCTCCAGCCCATGGGTTCCAGCAACTGGGATTCAGAAGCACTGCCTCCGACCATGGAGGCAGAGCACAGGCATCATGGGAAGTAGCTTTTGATAGCCTTCTCCTCCACGAATTTGTCCAATCCTTTTTGAAAGCCATCCCTGTGGGAGGGAGTTCCATCGTTTACTATGCGCTATGTGCAGAAGCACCTCCTTGGATCCGGAGGGAGCCACAGTGTCCCTAACCTTTCTTTGAGTGGAGCAAGTCAGAGATCCTTCCATTGCATCCAGTGTTCAGGGTGTGAACGCATCATCAAGCTAAAAACAGATGCAATTTCCCCTCCCTGTGGCCCAGATTGCTTTCTTTCTCCTTCCCCTAATATCTCTGAGTGTTCTTACTGCTCTTCTTCCCTGAGGCTGAAACATATTGTGTTGTTTGCAGGGAGCCATCTGCAATTACTCCCAGACATCTTTCTTGAGTGATAATAGCTAGTTCAGAGTCCAGCGCTCTGTAAGTGTAATTAGGGTTATTTTCCCAATGCCCACCACTTTGCACATGTCAGCATTCCCTTTCATCTGCCTGTGTGAGAGCGAGGGCAGCGTTGTGGCATTCAGAAGGTCAAACGCGTTGGCATGAGTATGCAGTGTCCGTGAATGGGTTGCTCAAGTGGCACCTAATTGGGCAGAAGGAGGCATGGCCATGCTAGCGCCCATTGATTTCCCCATGGCTAAAGGGAGCTGTTTGATCAAACTGCGGGAGGCAGTGGAGGACAGAAGTGCCTGGCGTGCTCTGGTCCATGGGGTCACGAAGAGTCGGACACGACTAAACGACTAAACAACAACAAAGGGAGCTGAAAGTGAGGAGTGGTTTGTGTGCCTGAATGGGCCCCTTGAGTTCTGCGCAGCTGGAAAAGTAGCATGTCACTGACCAAGCTAAAGTATTGTGCCAGAAGCTGTCTTGAACCCTGTGAGTGTATTTGTTCAACTAGCACTCTCCTGTCTACCTTGGGAAGACAATGAGTAAATAAACAAACCCCTGTGTTGCAAAATATGAGTCAGAGACTTTCAGAGACTTCAGTTTGTTAGTTTTGATGTTTTGAATTATTCCATAAAGTTTTTCACATTGCAATTATTTCTGGCCATCATGTTGCTTTTGATATTGCTACCTTGAGAAGAGCCATAGCTCAGTGATGGAGCCCCTGGTTTGCATGCAGAAGGCCCCAGGTTCCATCTCTGGCCCCTGCCGGAAACCCTGGAGACCTGCTCATTGTGGGCAATACAGAGCAGCATGGACCAATGAACTGACTTAGTGGACAGAAGGTCCCCTGTGCTCCTATGAATACTCCAGGAGTAGGGAATGTGTGACTCTCCAAATGTTGCTGGGCTCTGACTCCCATTGTTCCTGGATTGTAGGATCTCTTTCCTGTCACTTGCTTCACAATATTTTTAACTGGATATGTGGGACACTGAACCTGGAAACGTCTGCATGCAAAGCAGGTCTCCACAAATGAGCCACCCTTCAATCATCAACTAATCATCCTGACTAGGCCTGGGCAATGTATCAATACATCTGTCAGGACCGGTATGAGGGCCATAGTACGATGGCTCTTTCACCTGGTGGTATATCATGGGTGAAGCAGCCACCGCTCTTGAGTTCCTCTGATGAAGTGCACAGTAGTCCATGCAGGTTTGTGCCATGATAAGTGTGTTAAGCCTTCAAGGTGTCACCAGACATGATGCTGGGGATTGCGAACTTCTGGCTCTCCAGCTGAGATCAGCCTCCTTCACCTGCCAGCCCCAACCAGCCTGGCCAAGGGGAAGCATGATGGGAACTGAAGGCCCCAGGCTCCCCTGTTCCACCTTTGCTTGTCATCACCAACATTGCACACTCCATCTTCCATCAATCACTGGCCAATGTGGATGATGATGGGAGCTGATAGCTGGGATAACTCAGTTAGTAGAGCATAAGACTCTTAATCTCAGAGTTGTGAGTTTGAGTCCCATACTGGCAAATGATTCCTGCATTGCAGGGGGCTGGGCTGGGTGACCCTTGTGGACTCTTTCAACTATACAATTCTGTGATTCTGTAGTTGTCCAATGACAGAGTGGCCTACTGGGAGTTGGCCAGGGCCGCAAATCCCATGGGCTCTCCAGATGCTATCGGTTGGAGCACCCAGTTTAGTTGAGCTGAAAGGGGCAAGCAGTCTGACCTGGTCTAAGGCAACTCCTCCCCCCCCCTTTTCCAGGTGACGTCCTGCCCCACCACTCCCTCAGATAATAAAGCAGGGTGATGCAACCACAAGAACATAAGAACCAGACAAGAACATCAGAAGAGCTCTTCTGGATCATGCCCATGGCCCATCCAGTCCAGTATCCTCTACTCACACTGGCCAGCCTGAGCACAAGGCAAGGGCAAAACTCTCCAGCAAAGGATGGGCCCCTTCTAAGGTAATGCTTCTTTATTCCTCAAGGGGACGCTCTCCTTCCCCAAGACCATCCTTCTCCCCGGAGTGTGGCACTGCTATGAAATCCCTGGCGGCCTCCTCGACCGCGCTCTCTGCTTCTGCTACCTTTTGCAGATCCACCACTTTGACCTCAAGGTAACAAACTTTTCCCCTGAAAGCCAGCAGCCCTTTGCCCTTTCGACATGGCCACTACTTCTTCTCGGTGGAGAGCCAGTCCTACTTACGACAGACCGTTCGAAACACGGTTGCCTCTCTACAGTCAGCCGGGCTTACTCCCGAGTAAAGGCGCCTAGGGGGACAGAGGGGGAGGGACGAGGGCGGTCGAGAGCGTCTGCTCGCAAGAGGCACCAGCAGAAGACCTCGGCGCGCACCTGCCTTTCTTCGCCGAGGTTCAGCGAGGCTGCAAGCCGCACCGACAGCTCCCTCCACCCGCCACGGGGAGCCTCCGCGCCCGCATCCCGGCAAAGCAGCGGCGGCCTTTCGGGCTGATGTCATCGGCCGCTTGCGAGAGGCTGTGCCTGCGCGCTCGAGCCGAGAGGGGGAACCGAGCCGCCAGTTGCGCGGGCCACGCAGCCTCGGCAGCGGCGACGACCAGCCGCGGGTTGGAGCTGCTCCTGGGCTGACGGATGCGGGGAGATGTAGGCAGCCGGAGCGCGGCTCCTCTTGCTAGCTGAGCTTCTGCCGGATCCCGGGAAGGGCGCTTGGGCTTCCCAGCTGCGAGGGATTCCGCCGACGGTGCGGGGCGAAAGGAAAGCCGGAGAGCCGCCGCCGCGCTTGGCAAGGATGCGCGCTTCGTCGCAGCTGGCGGCGCCTTGTCTTGTCTCCGCTGCCGGGCTCCGGGCTCTGGCCCAGCGCAGGCAGCCGACGCCCCAGTGATCGCAGCTGGAGGAGAGCGAGCCCCGCCGGCGCGGAGGGACGCTCGCCAGGCTCCGCTTTCTCGCTCCACCAAGCGAAGCTCTTTCCTCTCTGGGCAGGCCCGTAGGCAGGGGAGAAGTTGGCGACCCCTCTCGCCGCCCCCCGTCCTGCCCGAGCCCGCGGGAATCCAAGCCACGCCGCGGCCGCTGCCCCCTTCCCACGTTCCGAGGGGCCGCGGAGAGACGCGGCAGGCGGTGGCGCCGGGTGAGTAGCACGTTCCCCTCGGGGTGGGCGCTGGATCGCTCGGAGGGGGGGGGGTGTCTCTCTCGCGGCTCCACGTCCGGATACTTCATTAGACGGGTGGGTGAAACCCAGGTAGAGCTGGGTGCCTGCGGACCTCAGAGGGGCGGCGGGGGAGAATGCCGCGCGCGCTGCGATCCTGAGATGTCGCTTTTGAAAAGCGGGGGCGGGGGCGGGATCTGGTTTCTAACTAGGAAAGGGCAGGCGCTTTTCGTATGCTCGGAGGTGCTCTTTCCTTGAGGGCTGCTTTCTGTTTTGTTCTGTTGTGGAGTTTTTAAAGCTGCATTCAAGCAAGAGTGTCCAACATTGTGAGCAGGATTTCATTTATTATTATGAATCCATTTTTTTAAAATCATACGCAGATATAGATACAGTACCCCTTTTCCTAGAGCAAAGTATGAGAAAGTGACTGGGCCAAGGTCACCCAGTGTGCTTTGGTGGTTGCGTGTGGGGATTTGAACTCTGCTCTCCCTTGTCAGAGCTCTTCCCACTAACCGTTATGCGGCACTGCCTTTTCAGTCTCTGCACACAGCTTTGCTGTGATTCCTGGCATTGATGTTTGTAGTGTGTGTGTGGGGGGGGGTGGATTTCCAGGCCTGCTCTTGGCTGTATTCAATATCAAGGCTACAACAACCCTAAACCTACTCTGACGCGGAGAAAACAGTGGTGTGGATAGGAAATCTTAGACTCTGGTCTGCTGGGGACTCCTCCTTAGATGGTGATGTGTGTTTGCATCCTTTGCTTCAAAATACGATGCCCATCCAGCCGCACTGAGGGTCCTAGTGCTGCGTACGCAGCCCCTCAAGCATCTCTGTCTGGTACCCAGGACTCGCCCCATCCTGCCCTGCTTGGCACCTTCCTGGAGTGTAATTTACCCGCCTGGATGTGTCCTTCTGCCTGTGGTGCTGCTTCTGGCTCTCCTGGATGGGTTGTGCCAGCGTGTGTGAACTAGCCTGTGGTTTAATCCCTGCCCACCCCTGGCATATGCCTGCCCACCCCAAGGGTTGACCAGGAGGGAATACTGCCTTCCAGCTGGAAAATATGCCCTGTCCCTGCTCCAGAGTAATGGAGGGTGATGCTATTTGTGCAGGGGTCAAGCAACCACTTTCATGGCAAAGGAGTTCATGGCATTCTTGCCTTCCTGCCTTCCTGTGTCGTGTGTACCAGTTCATTTAAGATTCCAGCATAATAGATGATTAGTGGGTAAAATCTGCTGACTTTACTTGAAAAAGAACACTGAGTTGGCCATGAGTATAGCAGCTCTTAAGAGAGCATTATCTGTGGTCTAAAAATAAGGGAGGCTGCCTTCCCTCCCTAATGCACTTACATGTGCAATTAATGGTAGCCCTCACGCCCCACACACAGCTGATTGGCAGCTGATAATGTGACTCACCCACCTTATGGGACTGTTGAGCAGACATCTACTTGTATGAGCATTCTTAACAACTGTGCATTATTATATTGAAAACAGGGTGTGTATACATTGTGTATTTTTGGGTGATGGAATGGAGAGAACTGAATGCTGAACAAAGGAAGCCCTGGACACGGGGGTGGGGGTGGAATGAGGCAGAGATCTAGACTGCTGGATCTGACATGATGGAATAGCTCCTTCTGAAAAATTGATTAAGCATAGCTCAAACGCAGCGATCAGGTGGGGATGGGAAATCTGTGGTGGTGCCTGAAGAGCAGGCGAAGAGGAAGAGTAAGCTTTCCTCTTCTGTTTCTTGCCTCTTGGAAAACTGCTTTGTGCCAGTGGCTCCTTCCAGGAATGCTATTGTCTGTCTTTAATGGCTTGGCTACTCTTGGACTCCAATTTTGTTAGGGCTGGCAGAGCTCCTAAAGCTTTAATGGGTGGTGGGCAAACAACAACAACAACACCCCACCATGTGATAAAGCTTATTCTCTGCCACAGTATCGCTTGCTGGTGGATTTCTGCCTGTCACATAGCTGCCAAAGGAACAACCAAACAGAAAAGGTGGCAACACTCCCTGTGTTATTGTCTCATTGCAGAGGGATGCTGGGGAGATTTTGGTAACCTTGATTGCTGAAGGAACATAGGAGGCTGCCTCAGACCAAGTCAGGTTATTTGTGCATCTATGCCAGTATTGTCAACTCTGACTCGCAGCAGTGGTCCAATCCTTTCTAACTTTTAATTTCCCATCACCTGCTGTCGAATCCTTTTTAACTGGAAATGCCAGATACTGATGCTGAGACCTCCCAGATGCAAAGCGTGAGCTCTGCCCTGATGATAAAAATTCATCCAGTGGCCTCAGCATGCACAATTGTTCCTTGGCTATTTCTTTCCTTTAAGTGACCCACCACCTGATCTCACCTCAAGTGGATGTTTTAAGCTCTCCTGCTTCTCTAAACTTCAGAAGGTGAAAATATTATTGGGAGTTCTTCTTGGGTGTCACATCAATAGACTGAATTATGTTGCATTCTTAAGGGTATATTCATCTGTTTTTATTTACAGCATTCATATCACACCTTATTCTCCAAGGAGTTCAAGCTGGTGTACTGTACAAGGTTCTCCCCTTCCTCATTCAACCCACACAACAGCCCTGTGAGGTAGGTTAGGCTGAGAGGCAGTGACTGGCCCAAGGTGAGCTTCATGGCTGAGTGGGGATTGGGACCCTAGTCTTCCTGGTCCTAGTCTGGCACTTGAACTGCTTTGCCACACTTGGGCTCTGGATTTGGGGCCAGGATATCTTAACAATCTTAACCCATTCATTTGTGACATCACTAGTCATGTTCCCCCAATACTTGAAGTGCCCTTGGTAGTGATGTGGAGCAGAACCTTCTCAGCAGTGGCTCCTGGATGGGATTTAGTGGGCCAGCTTCAACTAGGTGGCATCTTTTGCAGTGCGTGGGAGAGGTGGACCGATTTCTCCTGCTTCTGCTTTTTCTGACTTTTGTGCTTTAACTTGTTCACACTGGCTTTGAATGCAATTCTGCTGGGTTTGTTTGCTTTTTTGAAGTAAAACACTTTGCTGTCATTTTTCTTAGAAGTGGTTCTTTAATGTGGCTGCAACATTATACTGTTCAGACAGGTAGATGGTTCACTTTAACAGATCATCCCCTTCCTGGCTGCCAAAGTATAATCAGTTGGTATTGTGAGATCTTTAGGATGAAGGGTGAGTTTGAAATATCTCTGTGAAATAAATGCTATGCTGGCTCTGGAGAAACATATATATCTAGCTAACGATGCACACAAGTGAATAGGGTGGAGCAAAAAAGGGGGTTGTTGCGATGAGTTACTTTTTAAAAACAAGAGACAATAGATGAAAAGGTGTCAGATATCACAAGAACGTGCCTGCTGGATGAGGCCAGTGGCCCATGCACTCCAGCATCCAGTGACCAGGCAGACACCTAAGGGAAGCCAGACACACAGCAGCACCTGGGCACAAGAACAGCCTTCCTTCCTGTGGTTTCCAGCAAGCAGCATTCAGAAACATTGCTCTCTCTGACTGGAGAGGCAGAGCCGAGCCATTGTGGTTCGTAGCCATTGCTGGCCTGATCCCTCATGTGTTTGTCCAGTCCCCTTTTAAAGCCATCTAAGTTGGGGACTTTAAATTAAAATAAAGCAGAAACTCTTTTTATTAAAAGCCTTTTCACCAAGCTGAACTGGGAGATGTCACCTGAAGGTGGAAATAGAAAGCAATCGTCTCAGGCAAAACTTCAAGGGAAACCTATTCATAAGGTTCACAAAGCTTTTATCTGAGAGTGGAAAGGTAGAAAGTGGAGTTAGTATGTTCAGGGTGGGGAGGGCAGCTTGATGTTGTGTTGGTAGGTGACCAAATGACATAAGGAAGTCTTGTCCTTCCTCTGGTGTGTGTCAAATGTCTAACAATTTTGGTAACAGATAGCATTTAGGAGAAATTGCATCTGGTGGTGTATGCTAGAGGTCCATTTCTTTCTTGTTCCTGAATGTGTCTTGTAATTGAGTCTCTGAAACATGTATCTTTGACAGCTGTCTGGCTAGAAATTGGTAAAGTTTTGTTTCACTATTCTGAAGGGCTGCCAATGGCATTCGGAGGGCTCATAAAGGGCCTTCCAGCCTGGTTTGATGCATGCTGTCAAAACACATGGAGCATCTGTTTCCCTGCTCACACCCTGCCACGTCGCCTTTAATGAACCCCTGGGGCTGGTTCAGGCAAGATTTGGGGAACGGCCCCCAAGTGAGCAAGACTGCAACTGGAAAGTCTACTGATGGCTATATACTTACAGCAAAAAGGGCTCTGCTTGCCATTTTGAGGAGATCTTAGCAGTTTGTGGGGAGTGATGCAAATGTTTGGCATTTTACAATGTGCTCAGTGATTCTTGTACCTTCCTTGGCGAGCGTACCCTAACTGCTTCTTGGGGCTGTCAGAAGTGTAGAGTTCGAAGGGACCACAAGGCTTATCCAACCCCCTGCAATGCAGGAATCGCAGCTCAAGGATCCCTGGCAGTTGGACTCTTGAGGAGGATTACTGAAGGGGAAGATGAGACTACAGAACAGAGCCCTTTGGACACACACTCGCTGCTGCTAGATGTGCCCAAATCTACTGGTGAGGATGGAGTCCTGGAAGCTGCCTCTCCCTCACCAGCAGAAGGGACTATTAGACAGTTGTGGCTGTTTCTCCAACAGAGCATGAGAAGGTGGGTTTGGTGATGTCACCTGCAGAGACGCAGTATATCAAGATGGCACTTGTCTGCCAAGGTGGAGCGCCTCCCTTCAGGCCAGGATTCTTACAAGTAGCTGGGCATTTTTCACCTCAGCTTTGAAGAGTGGCAGGGAAACTCATTGCAACAAACACTTTCACACCTCCCATTCAGTCTTGGAACCCATCCTATGGACCAGTGATGGGGACTTGATCATAAATCTTTCATGGCAGCTAACATCCTTGTTGAGGAAAACAGCAGACAGCCTCACCCCAAAGGGAGGGGATGATGGAGATAGTCTCTTAAGACTGCCTGAATCCCTC